CGGAAGCCTAAAAGGAACTTCAAGTTTGAAAATTGGTGGCTTATGGAAAATGACTTCCATGTTCATGCTAAGAATGTTTGGTCTAGCTCCAAAAATAAGTTGTTCCACAATAGGATTACTAACCTTGCAGGGGCTTTAAGGAAGTGGTGCAGAAAGAAGAAACCGATTCAACAAGAGCTGGATTATTTAGGTGAGCAAATAAGAAATATACAAATGCAGCCGACTCAGGTACATGATTTTCCTTTAGAAGCCTCTCTTGTGAGTAGATATGAGCAAAATATGGTCAAGCTTACTGAATACTACCAACAGAGAGCCAAAAAGCATTGGGCTATTAATGGGGATCGTAATACTACATTTTTCCATCACGCTGTCCTCAAAAGAAGAAGAAAGAATAGGATAGCTTCCATAAAAGATGACAACAATGTGGTGCATGTTGAACCAGATGCTATTGCCAATGTTTTTATCCAATATTTCAAAAATCTCTTTTCCTCCTCTAATAATAATCATGGCAGACCTTACATACATTCTGGGTGACCAAGTATCGTAGGAGATTACACCTACAGTGTCCCTGACAAAAAGGAAATTTGGGAAACACTTAGAGCAATGAGAAGGAATGCATCCCCAGGACCAGATGGTTTCAACGTAGCCTTCTACATAGGAGCTTGGGACTGGATTGGAGATGACATAGTCAAAGTGGTAAGAGATTTCTATGAAAAAGGTACACTTCCTGCCCATCTAAATGACACTCAAATAACACTCATTCCAAAGAAGCTGGTTTCTGTTGTTCCTGCTGATTTTCGACCTATTAGCTTGTGTAATGTTATTTACAAAATCATAGCAAAAACCCTAGCCAATAGACTCAAACCTCATTTGACGGATTATATTGACCAATCTCAGCAAGCTTTCATTGAAGGTAGAAGGATTAGCAACAATATCATCATAGCTCAGGAAATAACTCATTCTTTTGCTTTGAAATCTTGGAAAACCCCTGCTTTCATGCTTAAAATTGATTTAGCCAAAGCTTTCGATAGACTTGAATGGAACTTCATTATGCAAGCTCTCTCACGAAAAAGGCTTCATGGTCATTTCATCAAATTGATTTATGCATGCATTACGGTTCCTTCTTTTTCTGTTACCATTAATGGCCAATCTTATGGTCGCTTGCAGAGTTGCAGGGGGATTAGACAAGGATGTCCTTTATCTCCTTACTTGTTTGTTTTAGCAATTAACGAGCTTTCTATATCCCTCCAAGAGGCTATGTGCTCAAATCATTTGGCAGGTATATCTTTAGGCACTGGTTGTCCTCCCATTCACTCACTCATGTTTGCAGATGATTTATTAATTTGTGGTCAAGCCTATATTACTGAAGCTACTCACATGCTCCATATTCTTCAAAGATTTTGCAACCTATCAGGTCAAACTCCTAACTGGAATAAATCAGGTATCATTTTCAGCGCAAATGTTAGTGCTTGCATTAAGGATGACATCAAAAGAATTTTTCCTGTTATGGACATCGATGCTAATTCAGTTCACCTTGGGCACCCTTTAATCCTACCAGCCAAGGATAGATTTGCTGCTTATAATTTCGTGGCTAACAAATTTCGTAATAAACTTAGTGGTTACAAGGCCAATAAACTCTCTCATGCAGCCAGATTAACGCTTATTAATTCTGTCTTTGCTTCCATCCCCATATATTACATGTCTAACATATTATTCTCTAGGAAGTTGATTGCAAAGCTCACGGCCATCATTAGAAATTTTTGGTGGACAGGAATAAAAGAGGAACCAAGGTCTAGAGCACTTTGTCTTAGGGCATGGAAGGACATTTGTATTCCGAAAAGTGAAGGAGGCCTAGGAATAAGGAACATCCAAGCTATGAACAGAGGCCTTGTTCTTTCAGCGGCATGGAGAATTACGGAAAACCCTGATTGCTTTCTCTCAAGAGTTCTCAAATCCAAATACTTTCCTGACTCATCAATTTGGAGAGCTAGTTCAAAAGTTCCAAAATCTGCCTTCTGGTCATCCATTTTAAAAATACGCCACTTGCTTTACTCGAATTCTTTTTATCAACTTATTGAAGGTGACTCTTCTATATGGAGCACTCCGTGGTGTCCTGTTTGGGAATCCATCTATAACCACCTTATAATACAACCTGGTCACTTCATTTATCCTTCGCAAGTTAAGGATCTATGGCTGCCTAACCAAAAAGCTTGGAACACCAGCCTTATTTGCACACTCTTTGATGAGCAGGCAGCTAACATCATTATGCAGGTTCCAATAATTCAATTGGAAGGTACTGACATCCTATGTTGGAAGCTACATAATTCAGGAAAATGTAATTCCAAATCAGCATATAGAGCTTGCCTACAGGATATGCAGGAACATGGCGAGCCTTTACCTAGACAGGCATCTACATGTGTAAAGCATATTTTAAAACAAACTTGGAGAGAGTACAAACATTCGCATGGATGCTACTTAGGAGGGCAATTCCCACAGGTATGAGGGCAGGTAGATTTTCTTCTCATATTATAAAACAGTGTGCTAGATGTGATCAAGAAGAAGATGATATACACCTATTCTTCACTTGTCCTTTTGCTAAAGCTGCTTGGTTCTCGGAACCTTGGAATATTAGGTCTGAATTCTTCGTGCAAAACTTTGGTTCAATACCTGCTATTATACAGGCCTTGTTAACTTCCAATCACCCTCATGCCTCTCTCAATAACATTATAACCTTTCTTTAGTGTATTTGGAAGTTCAGGAATGATAACCTTTTTGGCAGAAAATCAAATTCTCCTATGCAGGTATACCCAGCTATGCAAGCAATAATAAAAAGCCAAGAATTAGTATCTTCTGCAAATATTGCAGGTTCACAAGCAGAAATAATACAGAAAAAGATGGCAAGTTATGCACACAAGCCAAAACAAGGATGTTCATTAGAAACAGATGCTTGAATTACAGGTTGCAAGGTTTATGTAGATGCAGCATGGAAGAAGAACACTACTGGCTCCAAGAACGACTCAAACAAAGCAGGAATAGGAATTGTCATTCAGGCCAATGAGAATGAGCAAGGAACAGGTATCTTAATCTCTGCAGCTTGCGGAAGTGTTGAATCTCTACTACAGGCAGAGGCTACAGCTCTACAGGTTGCCGCACAAATTGCTTACCATATCAATAGCAGCGGAGTTACTTTCTTAGTGGACAATCTGACACTAGCTCAGGCAGCGGCGTCAAGGAATCTTCTTCAAGTCCCTGGGCACTGGCAAATTAGAAGCCACCTAGCAAACTTTTTTGGTGCAACAGCGAACATTCAAGCTCAGGTTTTTCATATTCCTAGGAAACTTAATGTAAAAGCTCACAATTGTGCAGCTTTTTCCTACAAAGAGGATCATCCCCAGAGCAATAAATTTGTTTGTTGTAAAGTAGAACATGCAGTAGGTCACTGTCCTACGCTTGCAAAGCTAGGTAACTTATGTATTAAGGACTGCCAAATCCTTTCTGTAACCTGTACCTGAAATTAATACAAGGCGCCGCTGGCGCCACCACTTGTCCAAAAAAAAAATCTACACATAAGCCCACATAATTCCATCATATAGTACACATCGATAGGCTACGGGTAAATTTGCAGACAAAATTATGCGGAGCGGAGATGAGAACTTGGAATACAGACAGACGCATGAGACGACAATCTGAATTCTTAACAGGTCATTTGAACCGGTCACTTTTGGCGTCTTCAGGACGTCACTCGGATATTCTCCGCTTATCCCATCAGTGAAAATGTCATGGATGATGACGTGTTTAGAAAGATCTAATCCGCCTGCACCCCCCTGGGAAAGAAACAAATAACTGCCGAAACAACACATGTTTGCCCAAAACTTGTTTCCTCTGTAGCTTCCAGTCGGCCTTCTGGGCTGCATCTCAAAAAACTAGCTGCAAAACATACACGCTTTCGCCCCGGAAATCCGAGCACAAACCGCCCAGCTGCCGTGCCAAAAACCCGCACAATGCGGTACGGCGCAGCTGTTAGCTTTGGCCAAAATTTGATGAGAAATGAGCATACACATAGAATGTCATGCTCGCTTTGCATTCTATCTCTTTGGACGCTCCTTCTTGGACACAAGTGCATCAGCAAACTGGTGCAGGTGCAAACAAACGCCCCGAGCTGGTTGCGGACAGTCTAGACATCGACAACCTCGAGTTTTATCTGCAGTCTGAAAAAGCATATGCTCAAATTATGCCCCAGTTATTCCAAGACACCCGCATTGGTTATGTAAGCACTCATTAACATATTATTATGCACATCAAAATTTTCTTGATCTTAACTACATATTCAACTATTTTGAGGAATCATAACACCTCCAGGATGCCAGAAATATTAGTTAACTGGAAGCTTTGGGGATCTCTCAAGTGAGATCCTGGACATTATTAACCTGGTTGCCAGATACATCTAAGTCAAGGTGAAGGAAATAATTGAGTTGTTTCACACAGAAAACTATGCAAAACATCATTAATAATGTACTCCCTCCGTCCCAAAATTCTTGTCTTAGATTTGTCTAGATACGGATGTATCTAATACTAAAACGTGACTTGATACATCCGTATTTAGACAAATCTAAGACAAGAATTTTGGGACGGAGGGAGTATATCACATGCTTTCTCTATTCCAACAGAACCAACAGCCATATTATTTCGAGCCGTTCATTCACCAATGAAAAATGAACTTGGCAGCACACTTAACCCTGCCAAAACTAAAGCAAACACTGCTACATAAAATCGATGTAATATGCTAATGTATACCTTGACCAACTCAGCATATTTTGTTTTCAACCTTGAGAGTACCTACGGTTATTGTTTCACACCATTTTTTGTAACATATTCGTTAGCACCTACATGTAAACATGCACATAGGTAAGCAACACCTACGCCTATAATACCATGCCATCTACGCACCTCCTCTTCCATGGTCCCCTGCTGTAAAAGCGCAACCAAGACCACCGGAAACAATGGCCACAGCCTATGATGAAGACCACTCCATTTCATCATCTCAGCATGATGACACGGATGACAGGAGGAGCACCATCCCAGCAGCTAGTGCTGATGAGAAGCCATTCCCGTTCTTCGGGCTGCTTTGCTACGCCGATAAGGTGGACTGGCTACTCATGGCCCTGGGAACCGTCGGGTCTGCCATCCATGGCATGGCATTCCCGATCGGATATCTCCTTCTCGGGAAAGCGCTTGATGCCTTCGGAACCAACATAAATAATCAGGAGGCCATGGTCCATGCATTGTACAAGGTAAACGTGCACGCACATATTACCCTCCTGAACTTGGGTTGTATTGGTCTACAATTGCTTTTAACACCATTGTTTTTCCTCCTTGATGCTTGAAGGTGGTTCCGTATGTGTGGTACATGGCGGCAGCTACTTTTCCTGCTGGAATGGTTGGTAAGTCAAGACTCAAGGGGCCTTTAATTTCTTCGATAATGCATGTTGCATTAAGTTTGGTAAAAAGAAATGATAACAAGCCACACACTATTTGCATTCTCCTGTAGTGGTTCAAGAGGAACTAATATGGAGAGACAAGAATGGAAAATATAGACTCCACAACTTCTTTGAATATTTTCCATTGATTTATGATCTGATTTTATACACTTCGCTCATTGATTGCTCAAAAGAGAACTTTTTTTATGGTCGCACGTTTGCCCAACCCCTATTGCTTCAAAATCCATGATTTTTTAAGGATATAAAAGCACATCCTAAAATCTAATAGAAGTACACTAATGTGCAGGATGAATGACATATTAGAAAAATAATACTCCCTCCATTCCATAATAAGTGTCGTGGTTTTAGTTCATTCTCATTTTTTGTCAAACATAACCAAGTACTCCCTCCGTTCCATAATAAGTGTTGTGGTTGTAGTTCAAAACACGACACTTATTATGGAATGGAGGGAGTACTTGGTTATGTTAGGAAAAAAATGAGAATTATAGGAGATCTAATGGTAGCAATATTGGCTGGCAAAACATTGCTTACATTTCCCATGATAACCTGGCTGCAGAGATCTCCTGCTGGATATACTCGAGTGAGAGGCAGTTAGCACGCATGCGGCTGGAATATCTGAGATCAGTTCTCAATCAAGAGGTTGGGGCCTTCGACACAGATTTGACCACTGCAAACATCATCACCGGGGTAACCAACCATATGAATGTCATACAAGATGCAATTGGTGAGAAGGTAATGCATTTCACAATCATATCGAACAATAACTGTATGATTTCTAAAGTCCTGTGGAGAAGTTGCATCTGAGCTCAATTTTCTGCAGCTCGGTCATTTCGTCGCAAGCTTCTCCACTTTCTTTGCTGGTATAATAATTGCATTTGCCAGCTGCTGGGAAGTCGCGATGCTCTCCTTCCTGGTCATTCCTCTGATCCTCGCCATTGGAGCCACATATACGAAAAAGATGAATGTCATATCATTGTCACGCAATGCTATTGTCTCACAAGCAACATCTGTCGTAGAACAGGTAACCACATAGATGAGTCAACGCTCCGTACCTGAAGCTAGGTTATTTGAATAAACAGAAATATAAAAAATAAAAATGTTATCAGAAAAAAATTTAACTTTGTAATCCTTGTGTGCATTTGTGGGCAGACTTTGTCACATATCAAGACTGTCTTCTCCTTTGTCGGAGAGAACTGGGCCATGAAATCCTTTGTGCAGTGCACAGACAATCAATACAAACTAAGCAAGAAGGAGGCGATGATAAAGGGAATAGGGCTGGGCTTGTTCCAAACAGTGACCTTTTGTTCATGGGCACTGATGGTTTGGATTGGGGCAGTTGCAGTAAGCAACCGGACAGCAACAGGAGGTGGCACGATAGCTGCCATCATGAGCATCCTCTTTGGCGCAATGTAATAAAACTACACCCTATCTGATTGCTTCAATCGCCTAAACTATTTTCATTCAAATATGATTTTTTGCAAGGTACATAGGTAGTATGCATGCATATTCTTTCCTTTTCCATGAATTATAATCAATAGACTTGACTGATTTCACCACATGGAGTGCAGATCAATTACCTACGCTGCACCAGATCTTCAGACCTTTAATCAAGCAAAGGCTGCAGGAAAAGAGGTCTTCAAGGTGATCAGAAGGAATCCATCCATAAGTTACGGAAAAGGTGGAGCGATATTAGAAAAGGTTTATGGAGAGATCAAACTGCATGGGGTGCATTTCGCCTATCCCTCCCGCCAGGATAAGCCAATTCTCCAAGGATTCTCACTGTCGATCCCCGCAGGCAAAGTCGTTGCTCTGGTGGGAAGCAGCGGCTGCGGGAAGAGCACAGTTATTTCACTACTTCAAAGGTTCTATGATCCAACCTCAGGTAGGCTTCCATCATTTGCCTGGTGCAACTGTATGTGTGCTCTAAGTCAATAAGTATATATTATTAAAGTTCTATGTCAGAATTAAGGTTAGAATTTGGCTGTCATCAATTAAAATGCCTATGTACTTGCAAGCTAAACTAGTCATAATATTTCAGTCAGTGATGAGAATAATGTTGCAGGTGACATATTCATTGATGGCCACAGTATTAAGAAACTAGATCTGAAATCCCTGCGGAGGAATATAGCTTCAGTATCTCAGGAGCCATCGCTGTTTTCTGGTACTATCAAGGACAACTTAAGGATTGGTAAAATGGATGCAACTGATGAAGAGATAATTGAAGCAGCAACAACAGCTAACGTGCATTCATTCATATCTAAACTTCCCAATGAATACTTAACAGAGGTACGTATGTGTTCAGCAAGGAATGCAAGAAAAGGGTAATTCTATATATTTGACTGAAGGCTAGCTACTTTCTGCACTTAAACATGAATTGTCTTCCTTCATGGTATTTATTAGGACATGAAAAGGTTAAGACCATCGAAAGTTAGAACAAAAACATTGTGATACTATTACAGTGACAATAGTTTTTTTTTCATCAGACTTGTGATTGGCTCTTTGACAATAACGTGGCACTATTATGATCATGCCAATTGCATTGCCTTTTATCAGACTCATAGTTGGCACTTTGTCAACAACGCTCTGTCAATAATTTTACTCCCTCCGATCCATATCAATTGTCGCTGATTTTGTACTAAATCAGCTAAGTCAGCGACAATTAATATGGATCGGATGCAGTATATTACAACGGAATTGGCTGGTAAAGTAAACAGATGATAATTAGTGGTATGCAAATGACCTTCCAATAGTAATACCGCATATGAATTTCCAAATTTAAACATGAAAGACACACAGAGCTTTGGCTGAAAATCAAATGTGCATACAACTTGCAATGGAAGCCAGAACAACAGAAGTAGAGGTTAGTAGAAAAAAAAATCACAACAAATCCATTTTAGTTGTACAGTTAATAAACCAAGCACAATGAATGCCTATTCCAAGGAACCATTTGAAAGTTCAAGATAAATCATAAAACTCCTGCTATCTTATGATCAAGAAAATTCCAAGAATAAAGTACAATGAGTAGTCGATATATTATAATTAGAAGTTCAAAAATATATAATAGACAGAACTTGATCTTGTTGGAGAATCATGGGTGGTTCTGTAATAGTTCATTATGTATATCAAGTTTTTTTTTTAAGAACTCCCCTTGTGCCTTACAACATCTTGGTTCATCAGGTAGGAGAAAGAGGTGTGCAGTTGTCAGGAGGCCAGAAACAAAGAGTAGCTATTGCAAGGGCAATGCTGAAGGATCCACCAATTCTCCTTCTGGATGAAGCGACAAGTGCCCTTGATTCAGAGTCAGAAAAGCTAGTGCAGGATGCACTTGAGAGAGCCATGCATGGAAGGACAGTTATCCTGATAGCCCACAGGATGTCCACAATTGTAAATGCTGACACCATTGTTGTCGTAGAGAATGGAAGTGTGGCACAGACCGGGACACATCAAGAGTTGCTCGAGAAAAGCACATTCTACTCAAACGTATGCAGCGTGCAAAATATTGAGAAGGAATCTGGAAAGATGGTAGCAAGGTAACTTAACTTTAGCCAAGGGAAAGCTTTGCTTTACCAAAGTTTTATTCTTGAAAAAACAGTATATGCATGTTAGGTATTTGATGATGTGCTTTGCTAAGTAGTGCACATTTACCCCATAAGAAACTAGTAAACAGTGCAGTTGATACTGTTGATGTGTTATCTCGTTCAGTTGATTCAACTGCATTTTTTCACGTAGTTGACTTGATGCAGTTGATTCACGTGTCTCAACTGTACCACTTACAAGTTAAGAAATTGGTAAACGTTTACTTCGGAGTTGTGCCCTTAATGATTACTCGCTAAAGATTTTCCAAAATGTAACTGAACTCACTTTTACCAAGATGCTGATAACAAGAATTTGTATACCATTTTTAAGGGTTAGGTTATGCTCACAAAATCTACGGCACAGAAGTTAAGTGATAATATAGCAAGTAGGATTACTCCATAAGAATTTACTAATCTGTTTATGTTGATTTATGAAACAGCCCTTCTGATAAAATAATAGAAGAACAAACTGATGAAGCATACAACAGACAGCCCTCCACGAAGCAAGGACAACAGAACAAACTAGAACCACTAAACTCAAAGAAATCAAAGCAAGAGGTCAGAAAGGAAATACCTCCTTTCTTCAGAATTTGGTATGGGCTACCTAGAGACGACATTGCAAAAATTCTATTAGGATCCTCAGCAGCGGCCATCTCTGGAATCTCAAAGCCCTTGTTTGGTTACTTCATCATGACAATTGGCGTGGCATACTATGATCAAGATGCAAAAAGAAAAGTCAGCAAATATTCTTTGATTTTCTTCGGGGCTGGGATGGTCACACTGGCCAGTAGCATCTTGCAGCACTACATTTATGGTGTTATTGGAGAAACGGCAATGAAACACCTAAGAGAGGCCCTCTTTTCATGTATGCCATATGAAAACTTTCTTCACTGGTCTTGTCAATATCTTGCACGAGTTTTCATTGTTCACAATATGACAAGTTTTTTGTTTTAATACACTGCAGCTGTGCTCCGAAATGAGCTTGGTTGGTTTGAAAAGCCAAAGAATGGTGTAGGATCTCTTACCTCACGCATTGTCAGTGACACATCAACTGTAAAGAGCATCATATCTGATAGGATGGCAGTCATTGTGCAATGCATCTCTTCAATCCTGATAGCAACAACGGTAAGCATGTTCGTCAACTGGAGGATGGGTTTAGTGTCATGGGCAGTCATGCCATGCCATTTCATCGGCGGCCTTATCCAAGCCAAGTCAGCCAAGGGATTTTACGGCGACGCTGCTATCGCTCACCAGGAGCTCGTGTCCCTTGCTTCGGAGGCTGCTAGCAACATCCGGACCGTGGCATCCTTTGTTTATGAAGATGAAATCATGAAGAAAGCAGAACTGTCACTGCAAGAACCCATGAGAATCACCAAGATTGAGAGCATGAAGTATGGGATAATCCAAGGGATCTCGCTCTGCCTGTGGAACATCGCACATGCAGTGGCACTCTGGTACACCACAGTTTTGGTCCAGAGAAAGCAAGCATCATTTGAGAACAGCATACGGTCATACCAGATATTCTCGCTCACGGTGCCTTCCATCACAGAGTTATGGACCCTGATTCCCATGGTCATGTCAGCCATAACAATACTGAATCCTGCATTTGACATACTAGACAGAGAGACGCAGATTGTGCCAGATGAACCAAAAGCGACAAGTGACCGCTGGCTCGTGGGGAGAATTGAGTTTCAGGGTGTGAACTTCAACTATCCATCACGCCCAGAGATCACCATTCTGGATGGCTTCAATCTAGTCATCGAGCCTGGCCAAAGGGTAGCATTGGTTGGCCCAAGCGGTGCAGGAAAATCCTCTGTCCTGGCTCTCATACTGAGATTCTACGATCCGCACAGAGGTACAGTGCTAGTTGACAACAAAGACACAAGGGACTACAACCTCAGATGGCTCAGGAGGCAAATTGGATTAGTTCAACAGGAACCAATTCTGTTCAACACATCCATCAGAGATAACATTAGTTATGGAAGTGAAGAATCTTCAGAAACTGAAATCATCCAGGCTGCCATGGACGCAAACATTCACGAGTTCATCAGCGGTTTGCCAGAAGGGTACGGCACAGTCGTTGGAGACAAAGGAGGTCAGCTTTCAGGAGGGCAGAAACAGCGCATAGCTATCGCAAGAACTCTACTAAAGAGGCCAGACATTCTGCTTCTTGACGAGGCAACTAGCGCACTCGATGGTGAGTCTGAGAGGGTGGTGATGACTTCTTTAGGGGCCAAGGAGTGGAACAACAGAGGTGAGCGATCAAGCAATATTACAAGCATCACAGTGGCGCATAGATTGTCCACAGTCATAAATGCAGACATGATTGTTGTGATGGAGAAAGGGAAGGTGGCTGAAACCGGTGACCACCAAACACTGATATCTGCAGATGATGGTGTTTACTCAAGGCTGTTTCACTTGCAAAGCAACATGAAGGATTGATAGCTCTATCAAGCCCCACTGTAGCCACGAGACCCGATCTAAATATATTTAGGTGCTTTGCCAGCATTTGCAGTATTGCTCAGATGCATTTACTGTCAGTTGACAGATTGTAATAACATAGCTATCTCTTCATATGTTCAAGATGCTTCATCCATGAGTTAAAAAAATGGGTCACATTGTCCTCCATCCAACTTAATATTTGCCACATTTGGAGTATCATACTGAAGTACTCTTTTCTATCAATTAGGTCATTACTCTGATTTTTTTTCGAAGAGGGGACATCCCTCGGCCTCTGCATCGAGTGATGCACACAGCCTTTTATTTATCAGATCAAAGTTCATCATCTGACCATAATACAGTTCAACAAATAAATTGTCGCACATGGCTGCCCCAAGGGCAAATTAAAAAAAAATGTAGAGAAATGAGCCTCATGCATCACAAATCCTACTAGTAGGCCGCAACCAAATGAGCCTCTATGATATGTACTCCCTCCGATCAATAATAAGTGTCGTATTACTCCTATAGGCAATAGAAAACAAAACTGGCAAACCGAGGCATGCCAGATCACCAGATTTGGTGAGTACAAGGAGCATAATCTAAGTAAATAGATATGCCACAAGAACATGGTTGTACAATGACTTGGTATCTTTTGTGGACACATCACCTAAGAGGTGGACTTGAGCAGAAACTACCGCCTATTACTAGAACTATAGGATCAGGAAGCGAATGGACAGACTACCACTCAAGTTCAGGTCTTCTTCAAGTTGAATTTGGGGTGCCTATTCTTCTTGTTAAACTGATAACTAGTTCCTCCAAGGTATCCATCATTTTGATTTACTAGACAATTCTATATGTTGACCTAATCTGTAAAATACTTTGCAACAGAAACTGGAAAAATGTTTTAGCAGAGCATCGTGTATTTATGCAACGAGGCTAGACAGTTTGTTTAATCAAATCTGGAAGGAAACAAGAAACCTGCAAAGTAATATCAAAGTATGCCAGAGTGCTAGAGTAGCTTTCACCAAGTGTCATAGCACTGGTCATGGCCAATCTGGACTAGTCTGCAGCTGGCCTAACTCTATGCAAGTCGTGGATGAAAACAAGGTTGCCCTCGTGTCCCTCAATTTGGTTACAACAACAACAAAAGATTCATGTGTAGCATTTGACACAACAACAAAAGATTCATGCTTAGTATTTCACAATGATGTGACACTGAATGAATAATTGAGTTCCACGCGTCACTAAAAACAAATAATTTATTTCTTGTGAATTTTCACAAGAGGTTGATCTGTTCATGCCAGCAACCTAGGTTTAATTTAAAACGTCAACCGCTAGGATCGATTCAATAACTATTGGTATTTGATTCCATGCTGATGTAGTGCATACATAATATAAACCTTGGGAGTAACAATTTTTTGTCCTATCTTGTAACTATATAGTTACTCCTGTTACTCTACATATTTGCTCGGTGCTCTTTGCTACTCTCCTGCAAATTATCTCAATGCTCACAAATACAATGCCATCCATCCAAGAGAATGACTTCCCCGTCGAATCATGTACTCCCGACAGTGCTGTTGACAAGAAAAACACATCACCGCCGGCACCATCAACGCCAGAAAAGGTGGCCATGGACGAGCCGTTCCCGTTCTTTGGCTTGCTTTGCTACGCTGATGCACTAGATTGGATGTTCATGGTGTTGGGGACCATGGGCTCCCTTGTGCATGGCATGGCGCCTTCGATGTCCTATTACATACTTGGGAAAACTGTTGATGCGTTCGGGAACAACATAAACGATCTGAACGCCATGGTCCATGAATTTTCTAAGGTTACCTTCTACCCAGAATAGTTTCAAGCTATTATATATATAATTATTATTTGGTTTGGTTAAATGCTTTTCTTCCATTTTATTGGAGGAAAAAATATTTGTCATGTTATTGACAGTGTATTTTTGTTTTTCTGTTGCAGTTAGTTCCATATATGTGGTTCTTGGCACTTATTACACTCCCTGCTGGAATAATTGGTGAGTACAAGCTTCTACCTTTGCTATTTTTAAGAATGTAAACAAAAGATGCAAGTTATTAGTTCTTATGCCCTGAAATGGAGCATGGTGCAGGTCTATAGAAATCTATGAAAATTTGAAAATCACAGTGAACTAAACTAGTATTTAAAAAGCACGAGTGTATGTGAAGAACAATAGAATATTTCAAGTATTCAGGCTGGAGAAATGAGAACAACAGCACTAGTACAACCTGACAGCATACATTCAGAAGAAAAAACTTCTAACAACTGTTCGTAAAAAAAGCTGCATACAATCATGGTCAATCAAATTAGATATAACCTAAAGTAACTTCAACTACCTTCTGCCTGACATTCTTGGCGAGTTGCATGTAAACCAGAGTTCGAGTAAGTTCACAGAAACTAAAGGCTGGTGTACCAAGTGAATTTGGGTTGAGCTTGCGGAAAAGTGTGGATCGGGGGCTCATTAATATATCAGTGAAGTTACAAAGAGAATGGTTCAAGCTGGCTAGAATCTTATCTTTTTGTCGAATTCCTTAACCAAACATCATCTAGTAGACACCTGAAGATATGCTATGATGGTGACAGATTTCATAATAACACCAATCCTCATTTGGTTACTTGCCCTCATGTACAGTAACAAGAGAACACCGCATGATGGGATCACTAGCAATATGAATAGCATTAGTGTTATTCCAATAAACAGTCTTACCTTTCTTGTCACAACGATCCTGCCGCAGAAATCGCATGCTGGATGTATACAAGTCAAAGACAAATGACACGCATGCAGATGGCATATCTGACATCAGTGCTCAGCCAAGATATCGGAGCTTTTGACACTGACTTAACCACCGCGACTATCATGGCTGGAGCAACCAACCACATGAGTATCATAAAAGAGGCAATTGGAGAGAAGGTATTGCATGTTTCAGCAAGTGAAGCACAAAAATGTCTTTTTATGATAACAAACCGCAATCATGCCTTACTTTTTTTCGCCTCAGATGGGTCACTTTATGTCCAACTTCTCCACATTCTTAGTTGCTGTCATTATTGCCTTTGTGTGTTGCTGGGAGGTGGGTATGATGGCATTCTTGGTAGTTCCGATGCTCCTCGTGGTTGGGGCAACATATGCGAAAATGATGGTTGGCATGTCGGCGACAAGGATAGCTTTGGTCTCTGAAGTAACCTCAGTTGTAGAACAGGTACTACGTAAATGAATACCTTGTTAGAACTAAGCCTCTGTCATATTAAATTTGTTAGTGCCATACTAATATTTTTAGCATACCAATACAATGTGTGCACAGACTATTTCACATATCAAGACCGTCTTCTCATTTGTTGGAGAAAATTCGGCGATGAAATCCTTCATCGAATGCATGGACAAGCAATACAAGCTAGGCAAGAAAGAGGCAATTACAAAAGGACTAGGTTTGGGAATGTTACAGATTGCAACCTTCTGTTCATACTCATTGACCATCTATATTGGAGCATTGGCAGTAACTAGAAGATCTGCAAAAGGGGGTGAAACAATTGCTGCAGTCATTAATATCCTCTCCGCTGCGATGTAATGCTGAGTATTATATTTCCAGCAATCTAGCATATACCATGTGATGTCGCTCCAGCTGATATTTTTATCTGCAATTTCAGATATCTCTCAAACGCCGCGCCGGATCTTCAGACCTTCAGCCAAGCAAAAGCTGCTGGTAAAGAAGTATTTAAGGTTATCAAAAGAAAAACAGCGATAAATTATGAATCAAACGGAAGAATCTTAGAAAAGGTCACTGGACATATTGAAATAAGAGAGGTGGATTTCACATATCCGTCCCGTAAAGACAAGCTGATTCTTCAAGGTTTCACACTAGTTATACCAGCAGGCAAAGTGGTGGCTCTTGTGGGGAGCAGTGGATGTGGGAAGAGCACTGTAATTTCTCTGGTTCAAAGATTCTATGATCCTATATCAGGTAGGCTTCTAGAAGAGAACGCTACCCCTGCATAAATATTTCCTGAGGTCTATATTCTTCATTTGTTGTGTTCGATTATGTTCACGAGTGCTTTTAGATTACATACACAGTGATGAAATGTTTGCATTTCAAACAGAATACAGTTTTCCATAGAAACAAAAATCATATGATTCATAGTGTAACTTTCAGATTTTTTTTTTGCGTGTAACAACACAGGTGGCATTACTGTTGACGGTCAAAACATTAAGGAACTTGACCTGAAGTCCCTGAGGAGAAATATAGGCTCAGTCTCTCAAGAACCAGCACTATTTTCTGGTACTATCATGGATAACTTGAGAATTGGAAAACTGGATGCAACTGATGAAGAGATAATTGAAGCAGCAAAAACAGCTAATGTGCACTCTTTCATATCCAAACTTCCAGATCAATACTCGACTGAGGTAAGACTTTATGTTTATGAAACAAAAGACTAGTGGCAACCTCACAAATTTCTCTATTTTGTATGGTTGTGAATCAAATAATTTCAAGTTATTAACAGATAGGTCTAAATAGCCTTAAGAGATGTGGTCTATACTTTTGAGTTCGGCACTGATATATTGTTTTAGTTCATGCATTGTTTTTTGGAAAGGAGTTCATGCAATGCGTTACTCCCTCCGTTTGACTATTCGAGGCTGGCCTCGGAAAGCTCTGTTTTAATATATCCGTCCATTGAGGGAATCAAGAGTGTAGTTGTTGCAATGTTTTCACTCTGTCCCCCTATTAAATTGTTTCAGGAATTTCTGATTGGTTGTAGTATGTTATCTAAGGTTATCTTGTATTAAAAAATTCTTAGGTTTAGTGTTTCCTTTGTCACATGGTGCATAGTGAGACAGAGCATGTACGCATGCACCACCAAATGACTTAGGACAACATCAATTTGTTGCACCAAACATAGCTAGTTGTACAGAATTTAGTTACGAACCAAGTCTATATAATAGTAGGCATCACTCATATGCTTTATTGCGAACCACTTAAGGTAGGAGA